GAAGGAATTGTTTATGTTGTAAAGGTGCCCCAATACTAGCAGTTCTTTCATCAGCTCCTTTACAAAACAAACTTATTCGATCTGCGTAAATTCCAACTGTAAAACGTAGAACGCAAAATTGATGTATTAACATGTAACACTTGTGGCATGCATGGCATTCAGTACGTACAAGAAACATTGGACAAATTTAATATTCAGCTAAATAACCATCGATCATGGTAAAGAACCAACAAAAACTCACCTCACAAGACATCTTCGCTCAAAGAAACATCCTTTTGATATGGTTACTTTTCAAATAATAGAAGTAAACACTGAGTGGGACACCACGTCGAGAAGGAGACGAGAAAACCTTTTGATCCACAACTCCATAACTTAGAACCTGATGGTCTATATGATAAGAGGCTCCCAAGAGCCTGTGTCGCTCACCTGATTCTACTTTGGTTTTGGAAATCATGTAAAAATAGATTAAAATCATAACAGATACCCTAATAATGACTGAGGCCAAATATGGTTTAATATTGGCCCCGTAATTTAATCAAAAGCAGAAGACTTTTGTAAAGTTTACAGAAATTACCAATGAATTCATTGAAATTGTACAAAATGACTTTATAAGGACGATGACAAATCAGCTACAAAGTAACAATAATTGGTCAGCACCTCAAAAGAAACATTCATACCATGTTTGGTTTCAATCCATTCAGCGGTTTCCTAGAAAGAAGACATTTGTATATATTGTCCATAGGGTCCTATGTTAAATAAGTTCCCGCTGGCGGCCATCTTGGATGATTGATTGCCTACAAAGTAACAACACTTGGCCAGCACCTCATTATGAACATTCATGCAATGTTTGGTTTCATTCCATTCAGTGGTTCTCTAAAAAAACCATTTGTATGTATTTCCCATAGAGTCCTATGTTAAACTAAGTCCCCGCTGGCGGCCATCTTGGATGATTGATTGCCTACAAACTTACAACACTTGGTCAGCAACTCATAAGGAACTTGCATGCCATATTTTATTTCATTCCATTTTCCTCTAAAAGAAAACATTTGTATGTATTGTCCATAGGGTCCTATGTTAAACTAAGTCTCCCTCTGGCGGCCATCTTGGATGATGGATCGGCTTCAAAGTAACAACACTTGATCAGCACCTCATAAGGAACAATCAATCATGTTTGGTTTCAATCCATTAAGCGGTTTTCTAGAAGAAGACATTTGTATATATTTCCCATAGGGTCCCTTGTTAAACTAAGTCCCTCTCTGGCGGCCATCTTGGATGATGGATCGGCTTCAAAGTAACAACACTTGGTCAGCACCTCATAAGGAACATTCATGCCATGTTTGGTTTCATTCCATTCAGTGGTTCTCCAAAAAAAGACTTTTGTATGTATTGTCCATAGAGTCCTATATCAAACGAAGTCCCCCGCTGGCGGCCATCTTGGATGATTGATAGCCTACAAAGTTACAACACTTGTTCAGCACCTCATAAGGAACATTCATGCCATATTTTATATCATTCCATTCATAGGTTCTCTAAAGGAAATAATTTGTATGCATTTCCCATAGGGTCCTTTGTTAAACTAAGTCCCCCTCTGGCGGCCATTTTGGATGATGGATCGGCTTCAAAGTAACAGCACTTGGTCAGCATCTGAAAAGAAACATTCATACCATGTTTGGTTTCAATCCATTAAGCGGTTTTCTAGAAGAAGACATTTGTATATATTTCCAATAGGATCCTTTGTTAAACTCAATCCTTCGTTGGCAGCAATCTTGGTTGATGGATTTGTTATAAAGTAACAACACAAGGTCAGCATATCAGAAGGAACATTCATGTCATGTTTGGTTTCATTCCATTCAGTTGTTCTTCAAAAGAAGACTTTTGTATGTATTTCACATAGGTCCTATGTTAAACGAAGTCCCCCGCTGGCAGCCATCTTGGATGATTGATTAGCTACAAAGTAACAACACTTGGTCAGCACCTCACAAGGAATATTCTTCACATGTTTGGTTTCATTCCATTCAGTGGTTCTCTAAAAGAAGACATTTGTATGTATTGTCCACAAGGTCCTTTATTAAACGAAGTCCAACGCTGGCGGCCATCTTGGATGATGGATCACCTACAAAGTTACAACACTTGGTCAGCACCTCATAAGGAACGTCATGCCTTACTGTAATACCATTTATTGGTTCTTTAAAAAAAAAACCATTTGTATGTATTTCCCATAGGGTCCTATGTTAAACTAAGTCCCCGCTGGCGGCCATCTTGGATGATTGATCGCCGACAAAGTTACAACACTTGGTCAGCACCTCATAAGGAACATTCATGTCATGTTTTATTTCATTCCATTTGGTGGTTCTCTAAAAGAGGACATTTCTATGTATTTCCCATAGGGTCCTATCTTAAAGAAAGTCCCTCTCTGGTGGCCATATTGAATGATGGATCGGCTTCAAAGTAACAACACTTGGTCAAAACCTGATAAGGAACATTCATGTCATGTTTGGTTTCATTTCATTCAGTGGTTCTCTAAAAGAAGACATTTGTATGTAATGTCCATAGGGTTCTATATTAAACAAAGTCCATCGCTGGCGGCCATCTTGGATGATGGATCGCTTACAAAGTTACAACACTTGGTCAGCACCTCATAAGGAACATTCATGCCATATTTAATTTCATTCCATTTAGTGGTTCTCTAAAAGAAAACATTTGTATGTATTTCCCATAGGGTCCTAAGTTAATCAAGGGTCCTAAGTTAATCTAAGTCCCCCTCTGGCGGCCATCTTGAATGATGGATCGGCTCCAAAGTAACAACATTTGTTTAGCACCTCATAAAAAACAACCATGCTATTTTTGGTTTCATTCCAATCAGTGGTTCTCTAAAAGAAGACATTTGTATGTATTGTACATAGGGTCCTATGTTAAACGAAGTCCCCCGCTGGCGGCCATCTTGGTGGATTGATCGCCTTCAAATTAACAACACTTGGTCAGCACCTCATTAGGAACAATCATGCTATGTTTGGTTTCATTCCATTCGGTGCTTCTCTAAAAGAAAACATTTGTACGTATTGTCCATAGGGTCCTATGTTAAACGAATCCCCCACTGGCGGCCATCTTGAATGATAAATCAGCTACAAAGTAACAACACTTGGTCAGCACCTCATAAGTAACATTCATGCCATGTTTGGTTTCATTCCATTCAGTGGTTCTCTAGAAGAAGTTCAAAATGTAAAAAGTTAATGACGACAAGGACGACGGACAACGACGACGGACGACGAACGCCAAGTGATGAAAAAAGCTCACTTGGCCCTTCGGGGCCAGGTGTGCAAAAAAATACGAGAAAAGATACAGGAAAGATGAAGAATAATTTATTAAGTAGCATCGTCCTTAATATCTCTGTCATATTGGACGTTCCAAACTTACCAACAACAGATTTCGTAATTAAATAAATAATTTTTGAACTTCATTCAAATTTTGAATTTATTTATATATTTATTAGGCAGCAAAATTCAATGTGTAATGAGCTGCAAAAGTTTCTTATCTGCATCCGATTTTACGTAAAGAGACGCAAGCTCGATAAAGCTAGTTTGTCTAGCGAAATATTATTGCGTTTATTTCTTATCGCATTGTAAATATTATCAACATTATAATATTAACATACTAAATAGTGTGTTAAAATAAAATTGTTGGGCAATTTATATATATATATATATATATGACTGTGTGTGTTGTACTAAAATACAAGGACATAATTTACAAAACCATAATGTTAGAACGAAGGTTGTCCGGATATCTGGTATAAATTTTAAAATAGCATGAGTTGTTTATAATTTCTCAGTTTTATCCAAAGTTTAGTATAGCTTCAATGGATGAAACACAAACAATTTCATCCTGCCATTTATGTCAAAGTAGTGAAAATGTTAAATGGAAATGTGTCAGTTGTCAACTATTACTGTGCAATACTTGCAAATTAAACGTACATCCAAAATTTAAACTTGCTGATACTCATTTTATCATTGATGTTAAAGATGTAGGGACAAGCATTGAATACTTAAACAAAGAAATCGAATATGGAAAATGTACTTTGCACGTAAACCAGGACAATTGTTTGTATTGTAGAGACTGCAATAGTCTTGTTTGTTTGAAATGTGTATCCGAAACACACCAACAACACTTGTTAATTGATACCGATCAAATGTACACAGAGAAAAAAAGCCAAGTTTCAAATCTTATTGAGTTGTGCAAAGAGAAAATTACGTTAATTACAAACATCAACAAAATCTGTCTAAAAAAATATGAAGAATCCAAAGAGAAAATAATCAAAAGAAAGGAAGATCTGACATCATTATTGGATGATCATTCAAAACATATGTTTTATCAACTAGACGAAAGATCTAAAAATACGGACTTCGAGAGTAAATCAGAAGATTTGAGCAAAACTTTAGAGCTACTGCAAAAATGTCAACAGTCAAAACGTGCAGATTTATTAATAGAAACATTAAACCCCATTCAAGACATAGATTTACATCAAGACCTTGCAGAACGCTTCCCTAGATTTGTCATGGGAAGACCATTACCACGCAAAATAATTGAAACGTTCGGTTCATTTCAAGAAGAAAACATTGTAGATCCTAACGAGGAAATAGAATTGTTGTTAGAGAGTTCTCACTCTACATCACTTAAAATGATCAAGAGAATAGAAGAAATTTCAGATGAGAAATGTTATGTCTTTGATGAGTCGTCTCTTTATTGTCTTGGATTTAAGAAAGAAGAAAAGGTTCATATAAAAAAGATTGCCGATATTAAAGCTTTTGACATTTCTCTTTTAAAGTCCAATGAACTTTTGATAGCAATGGAAACAGAAGGAAAAATTATGATTCTAAATCATTCACTTAAGATGAAACTATTCCACTCTTTTTCAGGTCTTTTACCAAGGGGAATACATATTTCCAAAGACGATAAAGTTATTGTTGGAGTTCGTGAAGAAGGTGAATTAGAACATTCGGCAGATGAAGATTGCAAACGGCAAATAAAAATACTTGACATAAATGGACTAGAGGAAAATGTATTTGAATATGACAAAGAAGGAAAACGCATTGTTTCAATGCCGATGAAAATAAAAACAAACGCTGACGAGGATATGTTTATTATTGATAGGATTTCAAAACTCGAAAGGCGCATTATATTCTTGACTAAATATGGTAATGTTTCCTGGGTGTATAAAGGGGAAGAATCTGCAAAATATTTGTTTCAACCATGGGATCTGGTCGTTATTTCACATCTTGAACAGCAATGGACAATTGCTAAAAATACACAGTTCAATTGATATGGGATTTTCATATCCATTGTCAATCTACCAAGGAAATAAATTGCTTGTTGGATCAAACATACTCAATATGAATGATATCACTGATACGTGTAAACAGAAATCCACTAACATTTTCCGTATTACCATCAAAGGAATATGAATAAAATAAGCTATTTTTAGGTATCAAAACAAACCTTTTTGCAGATGTGGAAGTCTGCTTTCTTTGATCAAGACATACATTTTCTTATTACTAGTATTCTACTGTACTTCATGTATGTACCATTGCGATAAATTATTCTCACTGTTTTGCAGAAGAAAAAAATTCAAATCAGGTTATGTACTCTAAATTCAAAACCTTTTACCAGTGGTTATTGATGTCACTGCTTGATATTTCCAGCTATATTGCAGTTTAGGTTCATTGTTTTAAAGTTATTTCCCTTCTTTTCTATTCACCTTGTCATTGGTTATTCAGTACCCTCCTTAGATATTAATCTCCTTTTTACTACAAATTTGATTTGAGTGTTTGTTGATTTTGTGATTGGCAGATTCTTTTTCTTACCTAGAACCTGAAATGTCTTATGTGGACAAGGTTTTTTTCCCATACCATGGCGGTATTTGTACGGTTTAAATGATAATTTTCACTGTAAATTTTCAATTTATAAGTTATATAATTGTAGTATTGTTAGGTATTCCGCAGTTTTTTGTTCTCAATGGTGTGTTTCGTAAACTGTTGCTTGTTTTTTGGTCTTTTTTCGTTTTTTTTGCGATGGCATTGTCAGTTCGTTTTCGAATTATGAGTTTGATGATTCTTTTGGTATCTTTCGTCTTTCTTTTTCATGACAACTTAACAATATATACAACAAAGGGTCTGCAAGGTAGAGATTGACTGGGTTGAATGAATGTGAAATTTGGAATTCCACTGGAAAATTAGGATATGATGGATATTGACTGAAGTTTTGACGGTAAACATGCCACACAAGGACCCCTCGGAGAGTTTTTGTAAAGGTTCGTTAATGCGTTTTGATCGTGATTCTTTTTCTACACTGCGCATTGGATTTAAAGTATCCATTTCCGCTGGACCTGACTGCGTATTTTTTCATCCTCCACAGCCAAACAGACGCCCCAGTCTAGCAAGGGTTTTACGACATCAATAGGAGAAATTGAAAGATCTCAACCTTGAAAGTTTGAAAGTTATATCAAACTCTACAAACATAATATATTACACAATAAAGGTCTTTCCACCACAAATTTAAATCTGTTAATAAAACAATTGTTCGAATAAAGTAACCTAAAGATCAAAAAATCACTTCCAGTATCAGAAGATAGCTCATCTAACACCCATTCTTAAAAACATATGTTGTATTTGTTGTTTTTCAATATATTAAAGGAGATAATTAGCCACTTCCGATTTACTAAAACAACTTAGGGTGTAATTTGATGGCATTCAGTGCACTGATTCCCAAAATATATGATATATTCTTGATTGAAATAAGGGATATATTCTGAAACTTCTGGTTTGATATGAAAAATTACTGAACGTTAATTCCAAAAGTATATGGTTGATCGGTATTTTAACATGTATATTAAATTAGTGTAAACCGGGATGTTTCCAGTTTACACAAGTTCTCTTGTAGTAGCCAGTTTTGAAGGTCATATATCTTCCAGCCTATTGCAAACGATCCTTTAGTCTTATTATGTACAAGGAAATGTCAAATTGTCAACGTATATTTGTTCGTAATAATATTTATTCCTGAGGGAAACAATATTATAATAATATATGTTCTGCAGAATTTCTGTCATGGAATACTTTTTCCATTTGTATTATATTTGTCCCACTGATATTAGGAACTTATGTTATATGTTGATTAATATAACAAATGTTCCTATTAAGCTGGTGATTTTTTACACCTGATTGATTATTATCTAAATCAAAACAGCGTTTTACATGCTGATTTTCTATTATGTAATTATTATCTAATTTGAAAAGTGTTAATGAGTTAGACATATTCACCTGTACACAATACCTGTATGTACAAACAAACATGGAGGCTGATGAATATGAAAAAAAAACATTTATGTTCCTTGATGATGGCTCATATGTTGAAGGTAAGTAAATATGTTAACAAGTTCATCTGTGAAATATAAATATAAATTATAATGAGACAAATATCATTTTATATGAAAAATATGCATGCGAGTAATTGTGGATAATTTGAAATAATTATTTAATGTAAACTTCATTGGGAACAATTATTTTCCTTATTCACGATACCTGTTATTTTACTAGTATTCTTTCTACTAGTAATATCAGAATAATAATTGTACATACCAGTTTACCATTCCGGCATTCGTAATAGATAGTACATTATAATATTTTCGGGTCGGAAAGATATTACATAATATTTTTTCCATTTGGAATAGATATTTCATAATACTTTTTCCTTTTGGAATAGATATTACATAATATTTTTTCCATTCGGAATAGATATTAAATAATACTTTGTTTCCATTCGGAATAGATATTACATAATAGTTTTTCCTTTTGGAATAGATATTACATAATACTTTTTCCATTCGGAATAGATATTAAATAATACTTTGTTTCCATTCGGAATAGATATTACATAATAGTTTTTCCTTTTGGAATAGATATTACATAATACTTTTTCCATTCGAAATAGATATTAAATAATACTTTTTCCATTCGGAATAGATATTACATAATATTTTTTCCTTTTGGAATAGATATTACATAATATTTTTTCCATTTGGAATAGATATTACATAATATTTTTTCCATTTGGAATAGATATTACATAATATTTTTTTCCATTCGGAATAGATATTAAATAATACTTTTTCCATTCGGAATAGATATTACATAATATTTTTTCCTTTTGGAATAGATATTACATAATATTTTTTCCATTCGAAATAGATATTAAATAATACTTTTTCCATTCGGAATAGATATTACATAATATTTTTTCCTTTTGGAATAGATATTAAATAATACTTTTCCATTCGGAATAGATATTACATAATATTTTTTCCATTCGGAATAGATATTATATAATACTTTTTCCATTCGGTATAAATATTACATACTTTTAACCTTAGGAGTTTATATTAATACTTTTACCATGACATAATACCACTTTGAAAAGGGTATACATGCAAAAATAAAGATACATTGTCCTATAACAAATATACTTTACCCAAAAAAAACCAATCAATTAAACATTACAAAAAATGTTTTATTAAATATTTCAATGAATTAAGGACCTTCAAAACACTTTATAGCCTTGAAAATTTTAAAAAGAGCAAAAATCCTAAATGCTTGTTTTCTTTTAATTGTGTAGGCATGAATGAAAATGATAAAAGGAGAATTCGGAAACGTACCGACATGTTTGCAATCACAGGAGGAAAATTATATTATAAAGGTGGAAAATCTAACAAGAGAAAAAATAAATTAGTTATTACCAAAGATCAAAAATAGCATTTATGAATATTTTCCTGTACTTAAAAAATACAAATAACTCCAAATTGTTTGCTTATAAAATGTGCATCAATTTAGTACTGATTTGTATATATGTTATTAAGGCAATTTACCTGTATTTCGGATTACTTTCATTACAATGAATGACATGTCAAATTGACAAAATGATAAAAGTCAAAATGTTTTACCAGTCATGCGATAAAACTTCCACCATAATATTTATTTCAAAGATACTTTATTATGTAACAAAACTTCCTATTGAAATTTGTTTTATGTGATAAAAATTCCAGGGCATCGGTCCCTTTACTATTCTTACGGAATATGTATCATATAAAATTAATTCCAATTGGAATTTTTGTTACATAATAAATTATCTTTGGAATAAATATTATGGTGGAACTTCTATTCTGTGACAGGTGATTGGTGTTAATTTTTGTCTGTCATATTTATTTTTCATTTTTTTTCATAGTTTCCGTTACGGTCTCTATAGATGTGTCTGAAGAAAGTTTTGTGCATTTTTCTATGATCTTATATATAGTTATTTAAGACCTAAATTTTGAATAAGTCACTTGTTTTATAACTTGTGTAATTCGGCTTGCAGACGATATGGCATCGAAAAGAAATGGGCATACTCCTTGGGTTTCCCGGATAATACTTTTTTAATATTCTGCGTTGAATGGACATCCAGGATCAAATAAATGTTGTCTCGTGTACAGGTGTCTCATTTCCTTCTTTAATTTCTCACACAGTACCTTCATTAGAATAGATCTGGCTGCTTCTGTTTTTTTAAGGAGACTTTTAAATGCCTTCCTATATTTCTTTCTTTCACGTGACTCTTTGACTGAAAATGGCAACATGTGCTAACTGTTGCGTACAGTTTGAAAGCACACATTCAGAGCACGGCTTTAAGAGACACAGTATTCATTCACTGGACGGGGAGACTGTTTCTTCGTGCATAAGGACTGAACATTTTACACAAAGTTTCCAGGGAACATGACACTTTTTGTGACCAGAATGCTTCAAACAATTGAATACCACTGCTTTTTAAACAAACTCATTTTTCTCATAAGAAGATGTATTGCATCCAAGACTAAAAGAACATTCTCCGTCCTGACACAAATTATAGAAATATATAACAGGGGTTTCGGCGACCCTACTATAACAAATGTTCTGGGGAGAAGCTCACAGTATAAGTAAATAAAACATCAATTCAGATACCAAATATTATATTAATTCAATTTCAAATACAGCCACAATTATTGTTTAGCACAGTATAAATCATAAATGTAAATACACGGCAAAGTCCAGTATAAAAGTTTTGTTCACTACGGGTTCCGGATACGTATAATATCAACGTCCGTGCCTTAGTCTGTCGGGTTCCCAACTAAAGCTTACAGTGAATCTTATTTGAATTATCTACTACATGTAATATTACATCATTAGCTATAAACCAACAAAACACAAAAGCACCCTAAGTGTTAAGATAATAAATTGATCGTAAAATTATATAGACAATGGA